AAATATTTATATCTTTTACCTTTCTTACTAACATGAAAAACTTTTGAACTGTTAGTTCAAAAATAAATAAAAACCATAGCACTTTTGCCTCTACATGGGCCAAGAAATGACAAAGATTAATAAGGACACATGGGCTTTGTGTAAGGGGGTATTTTCCAAGCATTATAAGTGCAATGGTTGACTTAGGGGCGGAGACAAAACATTCAAAGTTAATACAGCCTGCTGGAGAGCAAACATTAGATCCAAAATCAGATTAAACTCATGGCTGTAAAGACATGTTGAAAAACAAGTTAGAGTCCCACTGTTTGAGGAGGAGCGAGATGTCAAATGTTGACACTGGCAGCTTTGGTTCTCAAACACTGCCTGTTGATGCAGGCCTTCTCATGAATTCTCTGTGATACTCCAAAGTCACTCACACAGAAGCCTCTGGGTGCAAATAAGAGAATCTGGCCAGGTGCAAAGTGAAGATGCCAGCACAACTTTAGTGCTCAGGAAACACTAAGAATAAGACAAAAGGAGGAGAAGAAATGGAGGGAAAGGAGAAACTCAGCAAGAAAAGAACATTTAAAGAGAAAGAGATGGAGATGACAAGAAGAAAGAGAAAGAGGAGGAAGAGAGGAAGAGGAAGAAGGAGAAGAAAAGGAAAAAGAAGATGAAGAAGGTGAAGAGGAAGAAGAAGAAGGAGGAAACAGAGAAGGAGGAGGAAATTGACTTACAACTTCTTGAAATACTAGCAAATACAGTAATAATAGTAGTACAGTGGGTGGGGACTCCTGCAGCCAATGATCTCAGAAGGACAAACTCTTCACCAGTTATCTGAAGGAGCACAAACTTGAAATTCAAAGAACAACCTGGTGAAGAGTGAAGAGAATCTGAGTTTAACCTGGCTAATAAAACTATATTTTTATTTCATTTTTGCCTCCTATCTAAATGTGTGTGTCAAGTTATGAAAAAATAAAGGTATATTTTTTACAACTGAATTTGTGATTGGGGATATTAGTGGCAGCTTAACTTACCCTATAACTGACAATTTCTTCTGAATGAGATAGGACCTTTCTGGATCAAGAGAGTGGGATAAATGAGGTTCCCATTTGGAGACTATGACATTTCAAATCTGAGGAATGAACTCAGATTTACCTCTGATCCTCATATTGTCAATATTACTAAATTTGCTTAATTCTAATAAAGCTCATGTCACTTTTTTTTGTTTTTTCTCTTTCTATCTGTAATGCAGCTTAAGGCGGCTTTTTTTGGCATTTCCCTAACTAAATCTTATTATATGTCTGCTTTAATTTGTCTGTGGTGATGCATATAAAGGGGAAAAAAAGAAATTTCAGTGTAGTGGGAATATCTGTAAAACTGCCCTTTAGCTTGGAACTCATTACATTATGACAAAGAAACCTGCATGGGCCAAAAGCCAGAATTATAAAGTCAAAGCACAACTCTATAACCAGTAACGTAATTTAGCTACACAGAAAGTGAACTCATTAAGGTTAAAATTGAAATCTATCTTTTAGTAAAATAAATGTGTATACATTTATATCACAGACTGTACATTTACTGTAAGACATTTTGGAAAGAAAATAATAAAATCAATACAAGTAATGTGAGTATTCAGTAGAAAAAAATTCAGGTTCCCCTGGAATCACATCGAATTTGTTGGTTTAAGTTCATGACAATACTCGTTCGCGGAATCTACAGCATATTTTTCTCCCTCAGTGACTGCATTGTACGCAGGAGGCAGAGAAAGATTACAGAAGAGGGAGATTGCAAGTTCTTCTGCATTTTTCAATTTGGCTTCTGAAGATCCTACTTTTGAAGTTGTTTGTAATAACAACATGCTCCCATTGCTGGCGTTGTTGACGCCAGCTTGTTCCTGCTTGCTCTTAGTCCCAGACAGGTGTGAGTCACTGAAAGGTGTCCCCCCCCCCCGATCTCCCACAGAACTTGCAGAGAACCCAGCGACACCGGAGCCAGAGGCGAGGGAAGAACACAGAGCTACTCCTACCTCAAAACCTCACATGGAAACTTGCCTAAGCAGAAACAAATTAAAAATCAGTATAAACTAGTTTACCTCTTAGATTCATTTCTTCTTTGTTGGAAGAGTAGGCAAGAACTTTTGTGCGTACCTTGTATGTTCCAGAAATATAATCCTTTTATTTTTCTTTAATAAATTCTTATATCAAGGGGTGGAGGACAAACAAATGTCAGTCATTTGGGATTCCATCATCACCTCAACCCTTCTGAGGCTGGGTTTAGGGGTCATGCAAGATTATCTGACACTTGCTCATTGACTGCGACAGGTGCCACTGAGGCAGCTTTGCTCTCATCGCAGTCACCTGGGAACTTAGACCTAGACTCTATATCAATTCCACGGTGCCCCTACAGAGGGACAAACAGAGAAGGACTTTGCCTAAATAGGATGGGAGCTGGAAGGTGACTAAACTGTCAGAAAGAAATGAAAACATGTCACAGAATTTTTGTTCATCTACTGCAAGCTACTTTGGTGGGGATACTAACAACTTCTTTCCCACTCTCCTGACTCTCACCCGTCACCCAGAATTTAATCCTGCAGCTTCTCTGCTCCCTCAAAGCATAACACTGCAGTTCCCAGATGGGGTGGGGGTGCTCCTGGGGTCTGTTGAAACTCACTCAGCAAGACATATCTGGAAACAACAGCATAGTATATATTGGTAAGTCTGACAGTAGACTGATATATGAGGCTACTACCTTCTTCTGAATTTATTTCAAGTAGGGGCTCTTACTTTAACACGGGCCCTTCAATCATGGATATGCAAAGCCTAGACAAAGACTCCCTAAAGAGTTCAGGGGTGGTACTCAGGAAGTATTCTAGTGCAGCAATGTACAGTGATGTATGTCTGCAATAAATGCTAGGCTCCAGAGATGACTATTTTAGACAGCATGTTGACTGGCATGTAGGACAGACAGACAGAAAGACAGAGACATTTGGGTTATTTTGATCAGAAGAACAGAGAGGATAAAGAAAACAACGTGAGTTTTAAACTTTTAGAAGAGCTTACCTTCTGTGTATAGATATTATAGTTAGAATTATAGTCAGATTGGTAAATTTCTGTCCAGAAAATACTTTCCAGCCCAAATAAAATTGTCTTTTTGATTTTTCAAATCCTTGTACAACAAAGTTAAACTTTTTCTTTCCCATTTTCTATTTTTATTATATTAGTTATTTTTATAGGAATAAATCAACTTTGTTCATAATTTGTCATACAAAATGCACTTGCTCTATTATTTATATCAAATGTTACCAACTGTAGCATTTGCACTGTCAGTTTTCATTATCACTATTAACAATGATAATATTTGTAACTCTAAATTCTTATCGAGAAGATAAGGATGTTTGTACAAATAACAAATATCATGAGTCTTTTCAGATATTCTGGGATATTTTACGAAGTGAAAAGAGGCACAGATGGTTTTAATTTCAGTGAAAGAAGCTAGACACAGATCACATCTTATATACGATCCCATTTATATGAAATGTACAGAACAGACATGACCATAGAAACAGAAAATACGTAAGTTGCCAGGACCAGAAGAATTAAGGAGTGACTGCTTAAAATGTTTGTCTCTGCAGTAATAAAAATGTTTTGTAACTAGATAGCAATGACAGTTGCATAACATTCTGAATGCAGTAAACGCAACTGAATTGTACACTCACAGATGGTTAAAATGAGCAAATTGTCAGAAGAGTCAGACCTATAAATTGACTCTGGCCACCACTGAAGTTTTCCCATCCATATAACCACCTCTAATTCTAAATAATACAGAGCTGAAAAGGAGTTCAGGCTGATCACCATCTCTGTTTAAAAAAATTTAATATATTAATGTTGATTATAGAAAATGAACACAGAAAACATGAACCAATTATAATTCCATTGTCTAGAAAGAATCTTTTCAGGCCTTTTTTCCTGTATAAGTACGAACATTTTTGCCCTACAAAGAAACTATATGTTGTTTTATAGTATAACCAATTTCATAATTTTACTGACTATATATCTAATACAATTTTTAACTAGGTGCACACAAGCTTTTCTGTGCTTTAAATATATTAACTAATTTAATAATCCCAACAACACCATGAAGTTGATGTTGTTATTCTGATTTTAAAGATGAGAAAACTAAGGCGGGGAATAAACAGCCCTCTTAAGGTCACACAGCTCATAAGTGGCACAGAAAGGATTCATATCCAAGCATTCTGGCTCTGGGGCCTGTTCTCAACTCTTATGACCTCATAGTTAACCAGATCAATACTACTGGATGCTTGGAATCTACTCAATGTTTTGCTGCTACAAATAATATTCCAGTGAATGTCCTTGAAGCCAGATACATACAAAAATAATGGTCATAATAAAAGTCCCTGCAGTTGGAATTGTGGTTCAATTTAATTAAAATTTAAGGCATTCGATAGAACTAACCTTTTTCTTTAAGTAGAGAGCTTTACCTTTGGGAGGAAATACATTCACATATGGGGGCAAAGGTATGCGAAGCACATACCACCATATTTGATTAGATCACCTGATGATTAACACTCAGACATCATCGGTCTTGTAAATGGAAGGACCAGGATTGGACTATTGCTTGTTTGATGTTTCTTGTCTTTTATACTCAACAGTTTCCCTTAATCGGGACTGTTCCCCAGATAACACTCTGGTATTAGTACATTTCTTCTGGAACATTCTGAATTTATAACCACCTTGTAATATTTTTCACACCAAATTACAATCCAATATAAAGGTACACACAAATGCTCATTTTTAAATGTGCCTCAAAATAGCAATCTCTCCCCAATAGTACATGTTAATGATGTTGACACTTTGATAATAACCCATTCTCTAAAATAGCCCCTGCTGATAGAACAAAGGATCTCTTGGGGATTTCTATTTTCATGTTAGCTTAAAACACAATTGTGCAATGTGACCATTTTAGACCATTTAGTCTTTAAGCAGAAGAAAGACAAGAAACCAAGTTAAAATTGTTTTATTATATCCTATATGTGTATTACTTTACACACAGTTTTTGTTTATTTTGACTTGCAAAGTAACTTCTTTTAATGGCAAAATTAAAACATCGCAAAACAAACCCTACCAAACTTTAGACACTTACCTACTTCTTTATAAATGTAAGAAAAAAAACTGTACATTTAGATATAAAACCAAAGATCATTCACCAGATAAACAACTGAAAGCTTTAAAAAGACCTGTTCTTACACACTAAAATCATGTAATTTTCACCTTATGCATATGAGGAAAGAACAATACTATATGTTAAAATTATTATGTTAAAATTAGAAGAATTTCAAAAGGAAAATGAGTATAAGATTTCAGGAAAAATGAAAAACCAGAAAATGTAGGATCAAATCCGAATTTTACATACACATTTAATTGAAGACTTTCTTAGCGCCCAAAGGGCTAGAGAAGGAGTGACGCTTTCCTCATGAATGCCTTGTTTTTCTACAAGACCAGTTCAGACCCATCCTGAATGCCTTAGACTCATCGCCCAGCCAGCCCTTTTCTTGATTCCACACTCCAAATAAGGAAAGGCAGTGAGCAGGGGTTGGCTGGTACGTCACCCAAATCCAAGGACAGCTGCACTAGCTTACGAAAGGGAGGCCAAGGCAGGGCCAGACCTACAAAGTATGAAGCAGTGGCAACACTGCCCTCAGCGCTCCTCCCGTCCCCTCTTGGCTTCTCTCCTGGCCCTTCAACCCCCTGGGTCTGCGTGTTGCTCCCTGACTGTCCAAATAGCCCTCTTCCAAAATGACAGTTTGATCTCTTAGGCTCATCTTCTCCTCGTGTTCTAAAATGACAACTTGACCGCTTTCTTTCATGCATTTGAAATTCCTATTTCTTGCCTTAACTTTAAAAATCCTCATAACAAGGCAAATTGACAACAAGTGCATTCATACTGCATGGTTTGTGAACATCTGGCATATTTTCCTCCCCAGTGAATCACTGCTGGGGGTCTTGTGACAATGTTGACAGAGAGGTGAAGGGAGGAGGCCCACAAGGCTGGCTTTCCTTGAATCACGCAGTGCCACTTTAGAACAGGGCGTGAGTAGAGAGGAAGGACACTCTGCAGGTGCCAGCTCCTGAGTACAGCACAGTGCAAGCAGGCTCGGTCTGCGGACTTTAGTCTAGGAGCAGTCACCTCCCACCCAACAGCTTCAGTACAATTTGCCTTCCTGCCCCAGGTAGCCTCCATACTGCCCGGAAAGACACGGTTATTCGGCTCTAACAAAAAAGAAAGTTCACAGATAGGAGAGACAGAGAAAATGGCAATCAAGGATTTAATTTCAGCAGACATAAGGTTTGTTTTTTTCTTAAGTTTTTAGTATTAGCTCCTAAGAAAAACACTTCATCTCTGAAACTTAGCCCTCAGCAAGCAAAGAGCCTTAAGTGTGATTCTTATTCCCCAGTTTGTTTCTAATCTGTGGATACAGAAATATTTACATAGCAAAGCAAATCCAACCACTCAGCTGGTTCCCTAGTTCTTTCCCACTTACAACAAAAGAGTGTAATTTGTTTCCAAGTGTAAACAGTTTGCACAAGTGGACACCAACTACTTTCCGATAAGTTCAGTTATGACTCAGTACTCAGGAAGCTCTGCCTTTCCTAAACCCTGGATTTTTACTATAAAATAAACCACATCCAGGCTTATTTTAAATCACTGACGTTTTCCTCTTTGTTTTTGTTTCATTGCAAAGGTTGCGTTGATTACTAATTTTATACACTCGTAGAGTAATTTTACAACTATACAATAAGGTTACATACACATTCATTTCCAATACTGCTCCTATACAAACTTTGCTTTCAAAATTAAATGAAGAATTTGATAATGAAGTTGGTGGGTAGGGCTAGCACCAATTCTTCAGAGCTGCAAAAATCTTTATTTAATTTTGTCTCAATATTTTCTTGCATAAAACTGTCTTCAAATAGTGGTACTTAATTTCTTACCTGTATTATAACTGGCACACGATGTGAGTATATCATAAAGAGATATCAGCATAGCTAAGCCATTTTTGGACGAGTATTTACTTAACACATTAGGAAAATATCTGTAAAGAACAGCAGATCCTTTTTGGACTCTTATTCCACTACTATGGGATGCAATTTGCTAGCTGTATATTTTAACATTTTGATTTATTGCAAAAGATAAGCAAAAAAATTTTAAAACACAAATTCATAAGTGGCATAATTATAAATTTAGAAAAATATATTCTATATACAGATGCTTCTCTACTTATTATGTGGTTGTGTCCCACTAAAGCAATCATAAATGTAAAATGTTGGTAAATTGAAAACGCATTCAATAAAATTAACCTACTGAGCATCATAGCTCAGCCGCAGCACATTTCAGGGCATAATCTGTTTCCCCTCATGATCCTGTGGCTGGTGGAGAGCTGTAGCTCCAGCAGCAGCTTAACAAGAGAATATTAGACAGCACATCACTAGCCCAAGAAAAGTGCCAAATTCAGAATTCAAAGTAGTTTCTCCTGAATATGTATCAACTTCACCCATTTGTAAAAACAAAACATCCTAAGTCAACCCGTGGTTAAGTGAGGGACCATCTGTATGCAATCTATAACTGAATTTCACAATATCATTGTTTGGAAACTTCTAGAATGACTGGCAAGGACACGTCTAATGATAGCAGCTGTGACATTATCTCTTTGTGCATGTTTCCGCTAAGGTAAGAAACTTGGGTTCCAAATTATTTAAAAAGTCAAGTCCTTCTTCTTCCTGTTTTTCACTGCAGCAACCTACAGAGCCGGCTGGGGATCCCCGTCCTTCGTAGCTGTACGTGAGCACGTAGTCTTGTGATGGCACCTGCTCTTCATTGTGGTTACATACGTGCAACTTCTGCAAAGTCATTTTTGAGAGAGGATTGTATTATTGCTTTAAACAACTTCAACATATGAACATAAAATTTATTTTTTATTTACCTTTTATGTTTAATTTTTAACCAGTGTGTCCTCTAATGGATTCCTACACACAAAAAATGCACATGATTGGTCTCTATCACAGCCATATTGTAAAGTCAGTCTACGTTCAACTTCTAATAAGCTACACAAAGAAAATTTTATGTATACACACGTTATGTTTTTGACATACAATTAAGTTATGAACTATTTACTTTCAATTTTATAGCCAGAGCTCAGGCTCTTTCATTGCACGGTAGTTGGTATTTGAGCTTGGATGTCAAACACCTGTAGTTCTGAGCCAAAGTTCTGGCTCTACCAGCTAGATCTCTGAATCTGGGCAAGTTTCTAAGCATCGGTGTTTCATTCATCTCTGATCTAAAATGAGAATACTGACAGTAACTGTCTCATGGTGTTATTTCATTTTAGAAATTAATGATGAAATAATAATGCATGAAAAAATAAACCTACTAAATGTATAAAAATGTTAACTAAAATCATTATTATATACAATTATAAGGTAGGAAATAATCACTGTAAGGGCTTCAGAATTAAGTTTATAAGATAGCCAAAACCAACAAACAAAAAGATACATGCATGAGAAAAAGGAATCATGGAAAGAAAATCTAATCAAAATAATCCACACTGCAGAATCTGAGTTTGTGTAATGAAGAGCCCGAACAGTCTGTATATCTACCTTCCTTGTTATCTGTCTCTATCTTCTCTACCAGCCTGTCAAGCTACTGTGCCTCTGCCTTTTCCTGCTTTGTGAGTCCATTCCTCTAAGCCAGAGCTCACCAGGTTTGCTTCTCTTATCAAGAGCCTTTCTTTATGCCCTTACTAATCATTCACCAGTCCCAATCCCAGGATCAGAGGTGCACATTGCAGACCACTCCTAAGAACGTGTCTTAGGTTTAAGCTCCTTCACAACCTGATCTTACATGAATGGTGACTGCCTAAAAGCAGAAAAAGGGTTAACACTTGAAGGTGACCAAAAAAATGCTATGGACACATAATAACCTAGATCCTTATCACAGAGTGCTGCCAACTGGCCATCCATCCAAAGATTAAGGTTTTCTGGCCCAGTATTTGCTACACCTGCATTGCTATCTCTGATAAAGAGGTGAAAATTTTACCAGCAAGGATATTCAATCCAGTGGCTTTTCAATCCTCAATACACTTTTGAATCACCGAAGAAATTTGAGAAAAAAGCCAAATCAATTAAATTAAACACTTTCAAGGGGAAGACATTAGCATGTTTTAGAATCTTCCCAAAAAAATTTTATATGGACCATGAATTTCTTATTTAATTCTTCATTTCTTTCATGTTCTTGCTCTCCTCTAGATAAAAATACTTTATATTTGCATGGTGCTTTCAAAGTTAAAAATATTTTAAGTAGGGCTAGGGATATAGCCCAGTGGCACAAGTGTCTGCCTGGCAGGCACAAGGTCCTGAGTTCAGTTCCCAGTACCAAAAAAAAAAAAAAAGAAAGAAAAAAAATATTTTACATAATGGTGACTTTAACTAGTTTTTGTATATTCCAAAGTTGCTGAGTAAAGTTCAAATGTTCTACCCCCAAAAAGTTTTGAAGGTAAGTTAATAATTCTACATCACATACATATACCATAATATCACTAACCATTCCTCATGTGAGTAAATATATACAACTATAATTCATCAATTTGAATAAAAAATAAACCAATGAAAAATAAATATTTCACATAAGTCATGTTAATCTTTATCCTAAAATTGCATAGGGATGTTTGCATTTTCACAGAGAGAAATAGATTTGATTTGGGAAACTTCTGATAGGGATAAACTAGATTTTTTGCACATTCTTCTATATGAAAAGACTGTGCAGTAAATGTGCACCTAAAAATAAAACTACAGTGATGGATATTGGAAACCCCTAATTTTATGGAGTTTTAGAAACTAAAGAAATGTGACAAAGGGTGTTAAATTATTTTAAATTAAATAATGTAATAAAATCAAACAACTTAAAAATGACTGAGAAAGAGAGGAAACTTAGAATAATGTGGAAAAACAGGCTCTGAAGATAGACAGTAATTTCAATTTCCTATTCCTCTCAGTAGAACATTTAAATTGCAGAGTTAAAACACCTAGGGAATCTCACCTCACCGAGGCGGGGCTGGGTGAAATTGTGCCACTCAGAGTACGTGTACCGAGAGTTCTCCGTCTCCACGTGCCCTCCCCGGCAGGGGTCCAGGGTGTGGTGGTGCCCGGAACTGCGGCAGGAGTCCAAGGTGTGCTGTCCTCCTTTCACCATCTCTATGGTTTCCTGCCCTCCATTTCTCATTCCCGATCCCACCGTGCCACAAAACCGCTGGCTGCAGTTGTTGGCGGTCTGGGTTGTGAACCCATTGGCGGAACACTGCAACACAGCACAAAACAATACTGTTCATGTTGGGGAAAATGGATTTCAGATAGAGTCACAAGAAGTCAGCCAAGAGAGGTCATTTATTCAACGTTTTACTCATCCCCTCATTCATTCCACAGACATTTATCTGCTTGTAATTATATACCCAGATGCAAAAGCACAGGAATGCAAAGACAGATACCAGGGCTCTAAGAAGCTCTCATTCCAGTGAAGCAGAGAAACAGAATTCTTTTACAAGTGTAATTGCTCTGCTATATAGATGACCACTGAATGGGAGAGGGTACAGAAATAGAGGGATAAAATTCAAACCCAGAAAGGACAAGTGGAATAGACTAGAAAACTCTGAGCTAAGGGACTAAAGACCCAGAGGAGTGGGAGGAAAAAGTGCAGTGCTTCAGGAGGGTCAGTATGCAAAGGTAACCAGGTGGTCAAGCCTCCTGAACTTCGCTGACTTGAGAACGGCTCCTACACAGAGCTGCACACAGAGGCAGAGAAAGAGAGAAAAAAGAGAGGAGGAGGGAAGGAGGTGGGAGGGAAGAAAAGAGACAGGAAGAAGAAAGGGACAGAAAGGAAGAGAAAGCTGGAGAAGTTATAAAAGGTGAGAGGACAAAATACATACACATTTCATATGTATATATTTTATTCTAAAGGTTATGGAGACTCAGTGAATTTTAACTTATTATGGAGAGAAGCGTATTTTTAGAAAATTTCATTGTAGCCACTGATGAGGAAAATAAGCTAAATGGACATGAATTAATACAATAGAGATCAGATAGGCTCATTGAATCATTCCTGGTGGAAAATGAGCCTCGGTAGAAGTCATAACAACTGTGAGCAAGTGGACCCCCTGGAGAACCTACCAGTAGCAAAGCAAAGAGTCAGGGATTAGCCCTCCATGTTCTACCTGTGCAATTAGATAAATGGTACAATTCAGTAAAAAGAGAAAGAAAAATGTGCTTGTGGGTGAGAGGAGGTTGAGAAATTCAACTCTGGAGTGAGGGACTTGAGGCACACGTGTGATGTCCTGGATGAATACATGAATATGAGCATTTGGAGCACAGGTGAGAGATCTGAGCTAGAGACACAATTCTGCACGTCACTAACAAACAGGTGGCAGTTACAGCACCAGGAATAGATGAGCTATCCAGAGAAAACTGCAGCCCAAAAGAAAAAGAGCTAAGGATAGAAAAAGGATTTATGCTTCAAGGGGTGGATAAGAGAAATATAGGGGTGACATGATTGATCAGGAGCAGCCACTGAGCTGACAGCAGGAACTAAAGAGGCCGTGCAGAGAGGACTGTGCCGGGCAGAGTGGCCAGAGGTAGGGAAAAAAGAATCAAGTATGGTAAGCACTGGTTCAAATATAGTAAGTGCCCGTTGGATTCCGGTAAAAAGCATCCCTTGGTGAGTTGTCAAAAATAATTTCCAGGATGTGGAGAGTGAACAGGAAGTAATGTAGAAAAATCAAGTATAAACTTTTCTTCTCAAATGTTCAGTTTCAAAGAAAGAGAAATATGCAGAGGGAACTAGAGAGGGAGAAATTCAAGGAAATGTTTTAAAATGTACAGGACTTGATTAAATATTAACTCAACACTGGAAGCTCACTACAACCACCCGGCACCTGTAGGTCAAAGTCTAGTTACAGCGATAACCTCAGAAGGTCTGTTCTGAGGATAAACCACTGCACTACTTCATAACAAGAACCTCCCTTATCATCAGAATTTCACTGCACTGCCCATTTAATTCTTCTCCTACTTAAGAGTGAGAAGAGTTTCTAACTACTCTGGAAGATTTTCAAATTCAGATAATTTGCTGAACCCAAGATCTATCTACCAAAGTCATACATCCTAGCTCATTGCATAAGAAAAAAAAATCAGAAAAGAGAATTGAAAAGTAGCCATTTGGTGGCAGCGCCACCCTATATTTACTTAGGTTGCTGGTCCAGTGAAATTCTGCTACCAAAAAAAAATCACATTCCTGATATTCCTGATTATTGCATTTCTTTGATGGTAGTAGTTTATCATAACACATATATGTTCAGAGACATATTTCTAAACTAATGAAAGGGGAATTAAAAGAAACTAAAATTGATGATGCTGAGCTCACCAGTTTAACTGCATTCCCTACATTTTCACTGGGTTTCAACTATGCCTATTGGGTCAGCAATTTCCCCGGTGTGCTCTCCCAGGTCCTAACTCCATCTGAATGCCTTCTACTAAACTCTGATCAAAAATGAAAATCATCACCTTTCCTCGCTGTATTTTTGGTGAGTTTATATATTCAATATGCAACTTTGTCATAGTTTGTGAAAACTTACCTAGAGGTATTTTCCAAGCCCCTTGTGAAGCGCTCCTAACAGAACAAGTAAATGTGGCAGAGTGACCAGTACACTGCACCAGCTCTAGCTTCAAGTGGCAAAGAATTAGCATTAAGTAAAGTTCATTCACTTCTTTTTCAGATATAAAGTAAGAACTTCCGGTAGGTCAGGGTCTATCAAAGGTCTCAACTCTCTTTCTGACCTATTTTCTGATTACAGAGATAATCATAGCATTCCAGAGGATAACGTAACAAGCACAGATGGCTATCATTTTGCACAATGGTAGAAAAGAGTTGGAATAGATAAACTGTAAATAATAAAATCACCTTCACTCTAAGATACAGAAAAGGACAGATAAGTCATCCTTGCCCCTGGCCTCTAATACTTTGACCATACTTTTTCCTTTGTTCCTTAAATCCTGTCCACCACCTTATCATTTACACCTTTAAAATTATTTATTATTCATCCCTGTTTTTACATTGCACTTTCCATCCGGAAGGGTGAGCTCATGCTTAAACTACTGGAAGAGGCCAAGGCTTCACCTTTCTTCCTGTTCTCACTGACCCTCTTCTGACAGCATCACAGAAGGAGCCGGCATGATGCCACACAGAGAACTATGGGTGACTCTCCTTTGCCTAGAGAGTACATCCTCGACTCTCCTGGTTTGGGCATGAGGGATCCTCTCCCCCATTCTCTCAAATATCCTCTCCCCCAACACCTGACTTACCCTCAAAGCCTCTACTCAATCCAGTTTCTCCCACTCGAAAGCAATTTATTCACTATTTGCTGAATGGTCTCTAAACTTTGTCATCATCTCTCTTATCCTTCAGGCTACTTTCCTCCACTTCAGCTGTTCTCACCGACTCTTCACTCTCAGCCCCTTCTTATTTTGTGAGTTATAAACTGTGCCTCTTTCTTTTCCTACAGAGAAAGCTGTAGGTCTTTCCTGGCTTTATCCAAACCTTTTGAGTATGCTTATGAGTATCTTTGAACTTTGATCATGCTTTACTACACTGGTTTACCAAATGGCTATTTATCTTTTCCATAAAAGTAAATTGTATTTCCCATAAAGATACTGAAATATTTTTAAGGAGAGACACACTTGTCAGTACTTTTTCTATTCTTCCCACAAAACAAAGTACACAGCCAAGTACCTCAGAGATCCTGAAATAGTTAAGGAAAGAGCATGGCAGTAATCTTGCAAATGCCCACCCTTTTGTTACATGCATATCTTTGCTATTTTCCCAGCTGTCTTGAAAACTCTTAGGAAGCTTCATTTTTACTATTATGAATAGTCAAAGAGATAAACAAATATCTGGAAGCATACATTGCAGAGAACAGCCACAAATTATTGTTATAATAAGTTTGCAAGATCAAAAAACAAATTTTAAGTCAGTTTTTCCAAAGAGTAGAAAAACTATAATTATGCATTTGGTTTAAGTAGCTTAATGAAAGCTACTTTTTAAAAAATCTGAATATTGACATGTCAAGTATGTATTCTTACAAAATATGACTCAAACAAAACAAAAGTTATCACTCCCAATTTGTAAAATAACTTCAGAAGCATGAGTTTTTAAAAATCGCAAGCAGTAGAAACAGTCACCAAAAAAAGTTACTCACCACTCTATCATCTCCAGGTGCTTCTGTATTGGATATAATTAAGTTTTGCTGTGCTAAATCTTCAGGAAATTGTTTTCCTTTTCTGGTGCTAACAACTCCACATACTAAAGTTAGCAGTACAGCTGAATTTAGAGAAAAACTTACATTAGTATGCATAGAACAAAATAGTTTTCCTTTATTTCTTATAACCAAAGGGATATAGGAGAAAAATTAAGCCATTAAAGCATGGTTTCCCATGAATTATCTGGGCCTTTCTAAATTAGCAGGCTACAGTTCAGTTTCAATTTTAAAATGTGTATATGTATTTTTATATAATTTACCTGTTTCTTTAAGGGGTTGAATTCTGCCCATAATGCTAAAATACTTAGGATCAGAATTAATCACTACATTTAATAAATCACTGACATTTATTTAAGACAAAGATGTTGCAGAGATTTACTGAATCCATAAAGGATGGTTTACTTATAAGAAAACATGACACAATAAATTGTTTTCTCAAGTAGAGTTATCTCTAAGAGTGTTAACTAAACCTGATTTGTCTCTTGTCCATTGAGAATCTTCACAATTGTGATAGCTTAAAATATATAATAAAAGCAATAATAATGACAACAGTTCTTTACAATGTTCTACAAGGCACTAACACATGAGCAAACCATGGCCCTAAATCCAGCCCACCATGTTTTTATAAGGCCTGTGACCTAGCACTCTATATTTCCAAATGGATGGAGAAAATCAAAAGAACAACAGTAATAGTGGATGGCATAAAATTTACATGAAATTCAAATTTTAGCGTCTATCTCTAAAGTTCTACTGGAACATAGCTATGCCTTTCATTTTCCCATTTTCTAAGGCTGTTTGCTGCCAGGGCCAGAAACCACAGAAATCACATGGTCCACAAAGCTTAAAATACATACGGTGCTGTCCTTTACAGAAAACATGTGCTCACCCTCACCTGCTCAATGCGCTACCTTCCTGGCTCCATGGCTTAGTCCACTTCCCCCCACCACTACTGTCTAGCTACACTGGTCTTCCTGTTAGTCTTTGATTTCTTCGTGTAAGATCCCACCTTAGGGCCTCTACACTGACTCCTCGCTCCAACTGAAAGCTCTTCCTCTCGGGAATTCCACAAGGTGTCCTCTCTCACCTGTCACAAAACTCAGCAGAGATAGTTTTCTCCTTTGGGCCTGACCTGGCCATCTACTGAAAATTGCAAACATGAGCCCCAGATCCTCACACACACACACACTCTGTAGCTCAAAAAACGTAGTTGTTTTGCTCTATTTTTTCCATGAAAGTGTTTGAATTATTTATTCATTTAGTGTCAAAAGGCACATATATTTTGGTTTTCTCATTTTTCTTCTATGATAGATTCTAAGCATCTGGAATAGTTTCTGATAATTAGTAGATGTTTCATATGTATTTATTTTGTTGGGGGGCTGAAAAATAATAGACACTTCTATGAAATTTACCGTGCACTAATCAAAGCACTTCACACACACTAACTCAATGCTGAGTACCACCTCACAGAGTAAGCTACCGCAGCTGTCCCCTCTTACAGATGAAGAGAATGAAGCTCCGTTAAGTAACGTGCCCCAGTCCTATAGCTTACACATGATAAAGCAGGCTGGTTCCAGAGCCTTGCTTGTAATCACTGCTCCTATGACAGAACAAAGCAATTCCGAGCTCAAGGGCTGGAGGGAAGTAAAAAGAAAGGGAGAAACAGAGTGCCATGGGGAACCATACAAATGGCCAGAGGGAGGTTAATAATTCAGAATGAGCAATCCATACCCAAGATGGGACACTGCTGTGCTCTGAACATTTCCCACAAATCTGAGACTGAAAAAGTGAACAGATACAAAATAAAAGTTGCTTTTAGTGGACTCTGCTACTGCCGGAGTTTTAGGATGCTCTAGTTTGCCCTAACAGGAATAGCACTAAGATCAAAAAATAAAATCCATATGTTGGCAGCTCTGGTGCTGTCTAAGGATTTCTCATTAACTCTGTCCAGATAGGAAACTTCTGTCTCAAGAAGGACCACGTTCCCTTCCACAGAAAACAGTCCGGCATATCTCAGGTACCAAAGGAACTTGTAAAGGGGAGTCACACCTGACATACGCTTGAACAGGCCTCCTTTGTAAGGATCCTTTCCTGACTCAACTCTTATTTTGCATCTTAACTCCAAATAAGTGAGAGGACTTACAAAGCAGCAGTGCTATGCCCAGTAATATGGCAAGGATGGCCCACTTGCCCAGCTCTACTCTTGAGCTCCTTGCGGTGGAGACGCACTCACTCGGGTGACTACAGTCACACAGGTTGACTCTCAGCACTTTGGTTGCGGATTGGCCTCCACTGTCCTTCACAGTAATAGGAACTGTATATTCTCGAAGTTGGGCATTTTTCTGATATGACAGACGGGCAGCTGTATCTGTAAGAGAGTGAAATATTTTTAATTTTAAAAGATCCCTTATTCTTCCCTGGGGATCTATTTCATCTTGTCTAGTTCATCTTGTCTTTCAAAAGCATTAGTGTCAAGGAACTGCCTGCTACAGGAAAATAAATACAAATGGAGGACCATTGCCAACCCTTTCGATCACTCATGTTATGTTATACGTGTTGCTCTATATTGCTCTAGAAAAGAGCCTTAAAGAAATGCTTCGGCACTGCAGTGACGCAGTAGCATTCCTGCAGTATTTACTGTTCCTTTTCCTACAGAAACTAAGAAGATTAGACTGGCTCTTCGCATACAGATCAAGCATCTTTCCTTAGTACCAGCTCACACACATATAAAGATTTAACACCTACAGGTACACATAAAGGATGTCTTCCATTCAATTCTCTCATCCATTTACCTTCTGGTATCTGCCCATTATCCTTATGGATAAAGAAATTTTTCAAAGCACACAATAGATCCTTTATGATGAGTACCTTGCATCTGGAAGTAATCTCCAGACCAGAAAGCTTAATTATATCACACAGGCTACTTGTAAAGGTTACCAAAAAAGCAGAAACACTGACATCATAACAATTTGTTTTTATCAAGTGTGATAGTTAACTTTTCCCAATAGTCTCACTACTTTATTTTAATGACATTATCCTCAACTAACCAAAAGCTCCACAGACTTCCAGCGGCAATTACAACCTCCTTGACTTTTTATAACAGGCTGAATAAAATGACAAAGTAGCAACATGCACATACTGGAAATCATCTGGAATGTCTAAGCTTTGATTAAGTGCACTGTTAAGCTGGAAGAACTTCAGCAATTTTTGTAGCACCACATATCTGAAAGCCCCACAGAGGAATGCGAATTGTTGCTTGGATTCATCTGGGGGTCTTCAGGACCATAAATGTCTCAGGTAAGATTTTAAGTGTCTTTTCTTCGCCAAGATCACCAGCTGAGTCACAGCTGCATGATTTATTCCTAACAGTGCAGCAGCCTCTCCTTTTCCTTATCACACACCACTGCGCTCTTCAGATTTTCTCCTGTCACCAATGTTAACGTTACATGATATAAATCCACATATGCATGGCCTTCCTTGCATATTCTCAAACCATCACCTACAGGGCACATGTTGGTCTCCTTAGCCTGGCCCTTAAGGTTCTTTACCATGACATTCCACACACTTTCTCCACACAAACCCTCAATATTCCTACAGAAACTTTCTAACGTCTCATCTACCAGTTGACTTATTTCTCTAGTATGTCTCTTCTTTTATGCATATATTTTAAGAAAATATTGATTAAACACTTTTTAAGTAGTATCTACTAGGCACCAGGCTGGGTACCGAAAGTAGAAGAATGACAAATGTCCTGAGAAACTCATGCATTGGAGGCGGAAGTACACAGTGGGTAAAGCAGGACCAAGGGCGCTATGACACAGGCATCAAAAGGTCACTGCCTTCCTTGTACCACGACAAAACTTCACAGAGGCTGGGCAGCTGAGCCGGGGCTGTGTCTGTCTTATTCATCTCTCTGTGCACATCCTCAGGATCAGGAATGATGCCTGATAGATGACAGATGCTCGATAAACATTGTGAATGCATACCAAAACAAAATGAGAAAGGAGATACTCTAGGAAGAAGGGCCAGCATGCACAAAATTCCAATTGCGTGAAAAGTATGACATTGTAACAGCCAAAGAGCAGAGTGCAGATAAAATGGAGAATATTACATCTCCCCAAAATGGCTATCAGAGGAAACTACCCCAGAAAGCGCCAATGCCAGACCCCTTCCCACGTCCTGCCGTGGTCCTTTCCAGGACACAGAGCGTGTTTTTCCCAGGTTTCTCATTTCGAGAGCCTGTTTGCGATACACTTAAATGACACATCTGGCCTCTCTATACTTTACTGTTATTGTTATGACTTAAAAAAAAAAAACACAACAAAAAAGTTTATCTTAATAAGTTGCCCAATATTTAGCAAAAATTTTGCCTGCAGAAAAGTTATGATTTCCTTCATTTTATTTAGATTAAAATGTGGGTTACTTTTTTTGTTGCTGTTGGAGTACTGAGGATTGAACACAAATGCAATCACCACAGAATGCAAAGGATTAACCTTCTAAAAATCAATTTTGTGCATGTAAGCAAGTAAATCTATTCTCTGGTTTTTCTGTTATTTCAGAGCATGTTAATCATTTTTTATTGAATACCGTTAACTTTGCTGAGGGTCCATATTTTATTGACTTCCGAAGATGGGTTTGCCAAGCTGAAATGAAATGGAGCTCCATAGATCGGTTCGTCAGGGTCAAGAGCTGAAATGTCAGTATATGCCATCTTTTGTTTGCAAATGACGACATAATCTTGAAGTATTTCTGGTGCATTGTCATTCACATCTTCAATGGTCACTGCAAGTGTTCCAGTACAGGATCTACCATCTAAGAAAAGAAAGGAACAGGGTTAGTATTGTCAAATTTTTGTTTTATAGTTTCTTAAGGGGAACACAATTAAAATCTGAACGATATATGAGTTTTCTTAAAAATAAATTTGTTATTGGAGAAAGGTGAGGAAGAATATGGATGAATAACATCTACATGTAATAAAAAGTGAGTACTGCTGTTGATATATCAGATACACACTTCAACAAATCTCTTACCGGAATTACTACCAAATGATAAACACAAATATCTGGGCTGCAAACTCTTTATTCCCTTAGGAAGTGAAGTGGCCTTGAAAAAGTTATTCTAATCCCACTGCACATTCCAACCATCCAGGGAGAATTTTTAAATATATGATGCCCAGGTTTTACAACTAGAGATTCCAATTTAATTTGTCTAAAGTAACGTCCGTATATTGATACTCTTATTTTAGTATGAAGCCGAGGATGAGAAAATGTAGGTTACTTTTTTGTTGTGGTTAAAGTGCTAGGGATTGAGCTCAGGGCTACATCCCAGCTCTTTTTTAAAAACCACTAAGTTATTAAGCTGCCCATGCTGAACTCAAACTTGGGATCCTTCTGCCTCAGCCTCCCAGAGGGATGGGATTATAAGCCTATGCCAGCATGCCTGACTGAGTGACTTTCCAGAACAAAATTCAAGAAAAGAATCATTTTGACCTAAGAATTAGCTGAACTATTTAAAGGCTCACTTAAAGAGAGTCACAAAGAGACCTGGAAACGTCTAATGAGACCATTTCATCTGGTTCTACATTTCTATAGGGTCAAAATCCTAGAGAAATATATTTCTATATTTTATCTCTGTCCTTTACCAAAGAGTTATAGACACACTTGAGGCCCTCCATGCTGGGAAAATAAAGATAAACAAGAGATGGTTCCTTGCTGCCAATCCCAGGCACCTTGCGAGATGGTAAGAAAAGGAGGAACAGAGTCTCCATAGTTTCTAAGAGGTCCATACACTTACCACAAGAGTAATGCTGCACAAAACTAGTATCAATGTATTTTCCCCTCCCTTCATAAAATGCTACATTAAAACTTTTTTTTACCTTTGTCTATTGCCAGCACCGTGACATTGTATAAGTTATTCTGGGGAGCTGCAGCCTCTCTGTCCAAAATTTTGGAAACTGTGACTATCCCCGAAGTTTCATCAATTTTGATCCACTCTTTAGGATCATGCAATTTTTTGTACCTGTTAATAAAAAATAGCCTTTGGCATCATAATATACTTTAAAATAAGTAACTCCATTACGACAAATACATTATTATATGGTTATATCTTTCCTTGTACCTGAGACCATCGCTGCTTTTAGATTCAGGGTCATAGGCCTTGTAACCATTGATCTTTGAACCTACTGCTGAGTTTTCCTTAATCCGCAGATACTGAGCTGCAGGGTTGCATTCAGGCCCCTCGTCCTGATCCGTCACATGAACTGTGACCAAGGCTCGGTTCATGGATGTCACTCTGGTTACTTCTCTAGTAAATGGAGCTTCATTGTTTACTCCAATTTCTAGGACCACCTGACGGTTTTCTTCAAAGTTCAGTGGCTTTAAAATAAAGGACATGTAAAGTATCAGTATAAAACCCATTTGGTATTTCAAACAGCAATGAACTTTGGCAATATGAACCAGCTTGCATAAACATGTTCACATTTTGTCACTGATGATTTTATGCCTTAGTAAAAACAAAAGTGATCCTTCAATATCAAGCATTTAACAAGAGTTTCCCCAAAACCTTCTGCAGGTGGTTTTACAGAGTGGTAGAAAAGAAATTCCTGAGATGTTTTATATTTCATTCTTGCTAAGGAAAACTATCCTGAACACAAGAATACTGCAAAATGATAAAATGTGTAACAGGCTGGGCTCAGGCTCACCTGATTCTCTATGAGAAGACAGCTTTTACTATTTACTATGACTTATGGCCTAAGCATTTCACACCTTTTGTAAAGTTAGATATTAAGACTGCAAAATGGAATAAGTGCAATCTTAGTTTCTGTCCAATAAAGCAGACAGTCCAAATATCTGCTTTAGTTATCCCCTAACATTTATGTGAACCATCTCATTTTAGCTTTTCCTTTCATTAAAATCCAGCCAAGGTCTCATTTCTTCTTAGGAACCAACTTTGTCTTTTTTGCTGGTTCCTTCAGGAAGGAGTTAAGTAAAACTTTTAGCCATGCTTGCTCCTTATTGTTATGAAAATGACATTGTGACAATCTGCAAATAATACTTTGTCCAGCTTGTCCAAGAAAACTCACAGTGGAAACATGGAGGACATAGAGAAATATGATGTGCTTCTCGGTAATCATCTTTAGATAAACAGACTTGCTCTAAGCAGTGAGGATGAATTCACTGACTCTTCCTGCCTTTATGAGGTAAGTGTAACTATCATCACCCCCATCTTGCAGACCAGGATCAGTATACTTAAACATACTTGATTTTCGGCAGAACACCCAGCAAAGCCCATAAATACTACCTTTCTACATACTGTAAGGTCAAAGCACATTTTCTCAGATTCTCTTTCTGCTTCTTGAAACAATCACTGGGTAAATGTTAAATGAAATGAAAATGGATGAATAAAATTGCTTTAAACCTGTCCTTACATGTACATATAAGCAAAGCAAAATACAAATAATCATGAGTCCTCTAAGAAGTCAAGAAAATTTCTGAATTTCAGAATTCATAAAATGTATGTGGGCCTTTATATCTTTTTATGAATATCCCAGAAACTAGAGCATCAAGGAGAAACAGTTATTAATATCTATTTATTTGATGCTGATGAACATATCCTCACAAATCACATGTGTTGGTACAACCATGCAGAGAGGAAGGCCAAGTGTTCGCCAGATGGAAATACAGGTTCAGCTGTGGCACTGGAGCAGACACAGCTGTGAGATCCATGTCAACTTACTGCAGTCTTAGAGTTTCTTTGTACAGATTTTCAAGTTTAAAGTAGATATTATTTAAGTTGATTAAAACTCTGAAAGATCAGAAATCTGATAGAATAAAATACCAATGACTGAGGAATGGATATAAATTCTTTTTCACGCAAAATATATTTTTGTTTCACTCCCTTGAAAATATTGCTCAGAGTTCCCTGTACCCACACTGAGAGATTAACAGCTCCCTGGAGGATGGATGTCAGGGAGGTGGGACTGAGGGCCTCCGTGCTGAGAATGGCCAAGAACAGTGGTCTCTCTCAGGCCTGTGGGCACCAGTGCTGCTACCAAACACTGAGATGGAGAGAGTATCCAGGATTAAACTAAAGGCCTGATCATCTCACTCTACACTTACAGAAAACTTAATCTGTTACGGAAAAGTGTAACACTAGTCGCATGAACATGGTCCAACTTTTAAAAATAAAGTAATAGCTTACCGAGTACTTTCACTTTTATTTTAACCGAAGAGCTATTAAGGATTCCCATTTTACAGGAATACAGAGGCCAACTTTCCAAGGTCACATGGCTAAGCGTAGCAATTTAACATAGTACTTAAGAACATATCCTTGGAATCAAAGAGACTTAGGTTCAAGCACTTTCGGCACTCAATGGTCCCTGTGAAATCTGTAAATACCTCTTAATCTTGCTGAGGCTTTTCCGTACCATTTGTAACAATGAGACTCGACACTGCAACAGTACAGTTAAGTGTTTTACACTGTAGTTCTCAGCAGTCTCTCCAGTTGCCACCTAGGCAAATGAAGGGACTTGATGATATTAGTTAAAAACCAGTACAGCCCAATAATAAGAGACACCAACTAGCAAGACAATATTTACAAGCTTTACTCATCAGCTAAAAGAAATACACCTGGACAATTCTTGATTTAGCTCACTGATCATTTACTCCTTCAGGGAGTAAAAGAAGGAACAGGGGGAACTCTTCACCTGAACATGACTCTGACAGACAATGACTAAAGGACACCAGAAGGTGAGAGTTCCTTTAGTCAACACAATGCATCCTTCTCTTACCAGATAGGCACTTGGTCATCGTTCGTACACAGCCTATCTGCTAGAAAGATGAGTGTTGTGTTTGACTTTAAAAAGAAGAGACCTTATTAGGTTTCAAAGTACTTAACTACAAAATCAGAAATATTTTCCAAAGAAAAGAACAGGATACCTTCAAAGACCAGTGAAGGCAGCCACCAAAGAAGCTCTGTAATGACTTCAGATTTTCTAAGACTTGGATTAGAATATGGAAAGGAAGACATAACATGGCAAACATAAGTTGTATTGATCAAAATCTTTACAAATAATCTGAGTGACTCAGAAAAGGCAAGATTATCTTTGAAAAGAAATAAAGATCTAATAAGAAGATCCTCTTGTGCCAACAAAGTCATTGCTTTTTCCACCCTAATAAGCCAGTTACAGAAAAGAGGAGGAACGGGGGAACCACGGATATCAAGCAGGACGAACAGCGCAGGGATTTAGTAGATTCTGTGCCAGGCAGGCAGGGTTTGCCCGCTGGCGGGATGAACAGAGCTGTCTGTCATGAATACTTAGACAGTCAACTGCCTGAACATGTGTGTAGGGTGGAGGAGCGTGAGGCCCCATCTTAGTTATTTGAATTCTGCATAGTACATCGTTTTCACTCAGGTGTCTTTACCGGGAATGGGAAGAAATAACAGCAACAACCCTTAAGAGTTGTCGTAAAGATCAAACAAACCTTGTAATTCAGTGGTACTGGAGTATTTGCATACTATTTCAGAACAAGAACAGATGAAGCAAAATAAATTATTTTTATAAAGCAGCATAAAATTGATAGTAAAATTTGACAACAATGGTACAAAGGAAAAAATGATAGACAAATCTCATTTGTGGATATGGATGTAAATCTTAGACACAAATTAGAAAATACTCAACAGGAAATAACATTAAAATAAAAATCTACAGTCATGTCCTTGACTAAGCAATTCCCTTCTAGGAGTGTATCATACATTTAAGTTGTATATTGTAAAATGGTGTATACACATGGTTATTCATTTTAGCCTATTTTGAAGGTTAGAATTTTCATGAAAGTTTAGAATTTCTATTGATATGGCCTAAATTTCCATATATATAGAAATGATTAAAAATATTTGATATATACATCATGAATATTATACTCACAGCTATAGAAATGAGAAAAGTCTTTACATCTAATATGTAATGACCTCAGAGATAAGCTGTTGAGTGAGGTATAATGCTCTAACTACCTAATAACAGGGTCTAAACTTCCACAGATATTCACAGGTTAAAAAAATAAGTCCACACCATAAAATATTGTAGATGTAAATGTGATCATCTCAGAGATATGTTAAATGAAGAAATATATATTTGTTCAAAAAAAGAAACATGATAAAAATTAAACATATTTTTGAATACATGAAATTCTTTGGAAATGAGAAAATGATAACACTCATCGATTCTTCCCAGAAGAACTGCGTGTTTCAAAGACCAGGGTAAAAGTGAGACTTTTTACTACATAGCTTAGCTTTGAACTTGGACTTCTCTGAATAGGCAGCTACTTTCTCACCACTAGAACAAATACCTGATATCCACAATTTAAAGGAGAGATTTATCCTGGCTCATGATTTCGCTGATGGTTGCTAATTCCAAGTCAGAAATGGCACGGTAGAGGGCTTGGGGTGCAGGAAGAGTGCTCACCATGGGGGCCAGGAGGCAGAGCAGAGAAGGGAGGAGCTAGGGAGAGAGATGTAACACTGCATGTCACACTCCCAGTGACTCGCCTCTTCAAAACCCGTAGCCTAACAGTAAATCAGCTATAGCACCCACCTGTATGTTCCAGTCCAAAATTCCACTTTCAAAAATCCTGCCTCTGAGCGCATGAGAGTTTGGAGGGATATCCTAGATCTACACACTAACAGGGAGCTAATTCAAACTTTAAAATCAAAATAAGTAATATATCTATTAGTAAATAAGAAATAATCTATTGACATTTGGAACAAGTGAGATATATGTTAAGCACTTGACATGATATCTGCCATTTAATAAATATTAGCCATTATTGTTTTCGTTGCTCTCTTGTAGTACTTGGGATTACACCCTCAGCCTTTCAACTGAGCCACATCCCCAACCCTCTTTTATCTTATTTTGACATGGTATTTCACTAAATTGCTGGGATTATAGATGTGTGCCACCATGTCAGGCCCCATTAATGTTCATGCTGATTTAATATCCCAGGATGAACATGAAAGTATAATTGAATTCTATGATAAAAGGCAGCAAATAAACACTGTGAGATATTGAATATGAACTGCTATCTGGGATTAATGAGGTATGGGATGATGTAAGGGAAATGCAATTGACTATGACTACAAATTAGATTTGTCTTCCAGGGTGGATAATACAGTAATATGCTCTATTTTGGCGAACTGATGTACGTCCATCAGCCTTAGGTTGTATTATTAAGATGACTGTTGTTGTTACTGTCATTGTTATACACTGGGGGTATAACTGTTATACAGTGTTACTGTTATACACTGGGGATGATGCTTCATCCTAAAGGAGATGTGATAGGGGCTGGGGATTTAGCTCAGCGGCAAAGCGCCTGCCTGGCAAGCGCAAGGTTGTGAGTTCGGTTCCCAGTACTGGAGAAAAACCAAAAAAAAAAAAAAAAAAAAAAGGAGATGTGATCACTATGGCTGCAATTGTAGCTCAGTGGTAGAGCTCTCACCTGGCATGAATGAGGCACAGGGTTCAATACCTAGCACCATGAAAAAGAGGAGGGGCTGTGTGTGTGTGTGTGTGTGTGTGTGTGTGTGTGTGTGTGTAGGGGGGTATGGTATTAGGTAAGCTCTCTACCACTGAGCTATAATTCCAGGCTCAAATTTTTAATATAAGTGAAACTATATAATGTTTAAAAATAATGAAAATGAATGCATATAAGTTTTAATAGAGAGGAAAAGTTTTGTATTTTTATATCTTTATCTTTCACACATAACCAGACAGAAGGCAGGAAAGCATGTAATCTAATTGTTGTCCAAAGATTCAGCTCTTCAGATTCAGGGTTTTCTATGAAGCTACAAAGAGGACCCTTAACAGACAGCAGGCAATGCCAGCCCAGAAGTGCAAAGGAGTTAACCTCCAGGCAATGTAGAGCGGGTATCAAGAATGGAAGTTGACAGATAAACATCCTAGGTGCCCATCTTTGAGGAATAATGCTATGTGGTCCCTGCAGAGACTGAACAACCAATACTTCACACACGGTTAGCTTTTCCTCCTTCTGAATCTTATTTCCCCATTTTTACTCTGGCTTCTTGGATCCACTGTTCTGAATATCTACCTACACTGGAGTCCTTCCCTTGGGCTTGATTTTCTGGAAAGCTAGAAAGAAGATGGACCAATAAAGAGGGAAGATAATCAGTACTATTCTCTTCTTTCTAACTCTCAGTAATAAAGCTTCCCTTCCCCTCCCCATCGTCTTCCTCCTTCTTCTCCTTTCCTCTTCTTCCTTCTCCACCTCTTCCTCTCCCCCCTCCTCCTCCTCCAGTAGGTAGTATTTAATGTACAATTGGAGCAGGTCATATAGAATACTGAAATAGGTAGGAGTCTGACATAGAGATTCTATATTTGACTATGAACATCTGACTAGAATGTGAAAAGCCTTAGTATTTAATCCCTGAAAACTCTTACAGAAGGGACACTTACAAACAGAGAAGCTTATGTACCAAAGATGCCGCTATGTTATTATTAACAGGTAATTCTCTTTTATTCCATGAATGACCACTACACATGCCCATAGGACAAAATTTTTCTTGTTCTGGTCTAGAAAAGTAAAGTCAACTGTCCTTCTCAAACCCTATCCTTTCTTCATGGCCTGAAGCCTAGGGTGTAAATATTTAGTATATAGAATAAAGAATAAGTTTATTCACTGATGTCTGATGTGATACTGTTTCATCCTCAAAATTACCTTTAGAAGGGACAGATACAACCGAGTACATATGCTAGAGAGAGTGAGAACACTGTGGAGTCCTCAACTATATTATGCAAGGATTAAAGAGATTGGGAATACATCCTAGAAATGGTAGTCTCAAATGGACACAACCAAACTTCAAAAGAACTGTGCCTATTCTAAATAGCAGTACTGGTAGAATCAGGGCCAAAGCATGGAATCTAAGGAGAATAACCTGTACACAGTGGAAGCAAGAATTTCTAAGAATCAGAACTCTCCTTATGAAGTAAGCTGCCAATAGAGATACAGGGGTCCTTGTACATAGGAATGTTATGGGGAAAAAAGAATGTTCAAGCATCACTAGTAGAATAGGAACTCATAAATTACAGATGGGCATTAGATGGGATCAGAGCCAATTGGTTTTACTCTTTCAGCTTGTAGTGTGCACGACCTGAAATCAGTTCATTAAATCATTAGTTGATGAAAATATGTTAAGTTGTTAAATTATTAATGGATTCATTCTTACCTTCACAACACACAGAACACCTTCGTTAGTTGCTTGGTCTGTACTAATTTTGAAGTATCCATTTTCATTTCCCTTTAAAATGGTAAAATTGGCCCTCCAGTTGGCAGTGTTCACTAAATCCTTATCATCTATAGGAATTCGTAAGATTTCCATATTATATGTATTTTCCTCCACTGACGTTTCATACTGAATAAAAAGAAACTCATTAATAATTGTCTTTATATAGAAAATTTTTCTAAACAAAGTAAAATGCTTGTTTCACTCCAAAAATACTTGGTCTTACAGTTTTTAGGTGGATTATTTTAAAATCATGAATCATAAACAGTACTGTTTCATTAAATGTCATTTTGTTTAGTACTGGGGATTGAAGCCAGGTATTCAAGCTGAACTGCATCCCCTTTTTATTTTTTATTTTGAAGCAAGGTCTCACTAAGTTGTCCAGAGCTTGAAGTGTGAGATCTTTCTGCTGCAGCCCTCCAGAGTGTTGAAATTACAGGCATGCGCAAACTTGCCTGGCTCATTCATTGTTATATTTTAAATGAAAGAACTTCCCTATAAATGAAGTCTCTATTGTTATTGACCCTAAAAGAGACATAGATCATGGAAATCCTACTGTAAACAAATGAAAAAGATTTAGGCAGGCCAGGTGGAGCATGCCTATGAATCCCACACTCTGGGAGTCTGAGGCAGGAGGATCACAAGTTTGGGCTCTGCCTGGGCAACCTGGCCAGTTAACAACACCTTGTATCAAAATTAAAGGGAAAAAAGGGCTGGGGATGTAGCCCAGTGCAAGGCCCTGAGTTCAATCCCAGGTACTTCAGAAAGAGAGAGAGATGTGTATATTATTATTTTTTTTTTTTTTTGGCTCCGGGAATTGAACTCATGACCTTGCCGGACAGGCACTTGTGCCACTGAGCTATATCCCCGGCCCGAGATGTGTATATTATATAAACATAGATTTTTTAATTACAGTACATATTTCATTAATCCAGATTAAATAATGAATAAAAATAGATAAGACAGGGATAGATTCTGATATTGTATACTTACAGTATTTTGTCTAAATGTGGGTGCATTGTCATTTGAATCTTTTACTGTTATAATACAAGTGGATGTCGCCATCAAGCCAAAAAATTGACCATCCATGTCTTGAACTTTCATTATCAATGTATATCTATCTACAACCTGGAGACACAATAAATATTTAATTAACCTCAGATACTTGTTTAGATTCATAAATGAAACCCCAATTTCACACTGTTCTATTTGTGTGTACGCATGCTCTTATTTGCTTTCCCTGTGCTCATATACTCCAAGAACTTGGCAGAGAAGAACAGAGCTGAAAAGGTAGACGCAGGGTAAATCACAAAGAGATGTACTAAGAATTTAGACTGATGCCTTAATATCTAATAGGAATAAAATTATGGGAGTCATAGGGGAAGCACAAAACAATATTTGGATTTTAGAAAGAATATTCTTAAAGAGATTGAGAATAATTTGGAGTAAGCAAAAACAACCACTTACAGAGATCCTACATCTGTCTAAGACAGGTGGCTCGTACCTGAGGGAGTAGCAAAGAGGATACAGAGAAAGGTGACAGAAAAGTTACTTGGGAGTGAGAATGCAGTGGAACCTAATAGATTCCATGTTCAAGTTAAGAGAGAAAGAAGAGTTGAGTATGACCCTCAGCGGTCCTAGACGTATAGGTAGACAGGGATCTCCTCAACCAACCCAGGAAATGCAAAGCGAGAGGATCTCCCGAGGACAAGAACAATAAATAAGTTGCCAAGGAGGGGTGAAAACGTGAGTTTTGTTTTTCATATACTGAATTTCATGTATCTAACAGAAATGTAAGGAAAGAGACTGAGAGGTACCCGGACATACAGAAAGAGTAGATACACATAATGGGGAGACCGTGGCCAGAAATACCAGTCTGAGAGTCATCGATAGGTACATGGTGACTGTAATTATGGCAAGAATCAGACATGCGTGGTATGGTAAGAAAAGCTGAGGACACATGGAAGAGCAGCACTTGAAGCATAGGAAAAAAGATTAAGCAAAGCATATTTTAAAAGATCAGACAATCAAGAGGAGGACCAGAAATCCAAGAGAAAGAAGTATTCTCATAAGTGCAAATAATAGGCAAGAACATGAGGTAACTGCTGGATTTGGCAAGAGAAAGTCACCGCTGACTTCTGTTCATGGTGTGGTGATGGTAAATGTAGTCATTAGTCTGTGAAAACAATCACCATTGTAGCTTTTTGTTTTCTTTTTGATTTAGTCTTCTTCTGCCACCTTTTCTTCCTGCCCTGTCACCCTTTACACCTTCCTTCTGTCTACATTTTACTTGGTCTCCCTTTCATATTATATATGTTGTAACACTAACATTCCCAGCCATTCCCACAGACTTCAAGACCGACACTGTGGTGGTTTTCTTCACCTAAATTAACTACTGTTTTTCCTCTGTGTTCCTTTCTTTATTTTGGGTTGTTTTCTAACACTCGTTCCATGACTGTTCCATTAGGTATTTTTTTTCCACCAAGCAAACAGACCTGACTTTGGCCTCAGAACATGTAACATGCAAGTCTCGCAATCTCAAATTATTTATTTTTAATCTGTTACAAGTGGGGGAAATATCTGTTTTTACTTGAGTACCATGTCTTCTGTACATTCTCCAAAGATATGAAGACATTCATACAGTCCCCTTCAAACCTTCCCATTTGTTGGCTTTATTATGTGTTTTATCACATAAATACGCTGATCCTACAAAAGTTAAAACAATAATAACTAAAACCCCTGTACTAGTTTTGATTCCTTTTTTGGATATTTTCACCATCCTTTCCTTTTTCCCTTGACATCAAATTCCATTAATCTCTTTATATCTTTCCCAACAGGCTAACCTTTCTATTTATATTATGCTAATTGTAGGGGGCACTGCAGTGTTCTAATAAAGCTATTTTGCATGTATGAAATTGACTCATCTGCCTCAGTTAATAATGTAGAACCATGAGTTAAATGTAGACTGGTAAAATAGGCAGAGAAACAATGACAACAAAATATTAGAAGATTCTGTGGAATAATATCACTTGGGTGAATCAATCAGTCTTTCCAACCATAACATTTCTCCTCTCTAGATTGGCTATAGCACCTATAGGGTCAAAGAATAAAATTATAAAATTATAAAATTCAAAGAAAATGATGAATAAAAAATTTGAACACAAATTACTAGATATATGACAATCTGCTATTACTATCTTCCAAATAGTGTTACAGTTTTTTAATAATTCATCAATTGTAATGCAACTAATCATTTTCTAATAAAAAGTGTGTATATATAACTGAATAAAGATCAAGTATGATATACCCTTATGGAACAAGCAAAAGTTACTGTTCTACATGAGAACTGAAACCTTTACTGAGCTGAAGCCAACCAGCCTCACACAAGAACTGAAGTAAAATAATAATAATAATATTCATAAGAAATATTTTTCTAACCCTTCCTACACACTGATTGAGCTGCATTTCTAGTCTTTATGGCTCCACTGAGATAAGGAAATAGAAATAATGTAAAAAAAATTCCAGGAGCTCTTATTGTTTTATGCTTTATGTAAAATAGGAAATTTTTAATCCATAATATAGCAAATTATAGTACATTGGGCCATGGGAGCTCAACCCCCAAGCAATGTTTCACCGAGCGGAAGTTACCTCTCTGTCCAGATAATGAGAGACCGTGGTGATGACACCCGTGTTGGGATGCACGGAAAAGAGACCAGGGGATCTCGGTGTCTGCTCCAAAATGCTGTACTTCAAGCGTGTGTGCATCGTGTCTGGTTCATCTCGATCTGTGGCACAAACCACACCCACTGTAGTTCCTATCCATTAAAAAAAAAAAAAAAAAAAAAAAGATATTTCAATCTCCAGAATTGCAAGGCATATTTAGCTCTATCTGTACTTTGCAAATTTCAGCGACGATGGTAGAAAAATTGCATTTCTTACCGGAGAGATTGCATCTTTAGATAGGCTTGCTGAAGATGCCCTCAGATGTATAATACAAAACATTTTGACACTGAGAATCAAGGTACACTTGTATTTTGCTCACAGTTAAAATTTTAATAGTAAATCATTAAAAAATTAATTAATGACAATTGAGAATAATTTCAATATACGTTCCTACACATTGCAATGATAAATCTAGCGTAAGGGATAAGAAATTCAGAATTCTTTTTAAGTTGGATTTTCGATTAATAGCTAAGTCAAGAACACTTTGGGATACAGTTGTACAGATGGCCAAGTAGACCTTTAGTAGCTCAGTCTTTACCTCTCCTTTCTATGATCTTTTACTTTTCCTTTCTTTTCTTTCTACTTTTGCTGTGTTCTGATGTGATTTATTGTCCTTTAGCAGCTGAGTATTGCAGCCTTCACTGGTCCGAACCTAGGCATGTAATGTGCTGCAAGTCCCTAGAGACAATGGGGGCATCAATGATTTGCCCTTCACTCTTCCCTGGTAGTACCGAAGAACACAAAATCCTCAAGAAAAAACTCTGAGACAAGTTACCCCCTCTTTGAAAAAGAAAGAATGGGACAGTCAAAGAATTCTGAATCTAGAAATTGTATAGGTAGGTCATCATTGTAATTAACTCTTTCTACAAATAAGACAATGCAGTGACTTCTGTAAGATCCCACAGTGAAGCAATAAGAGAACCTGCATGAAAAGCAGGTTTTCTAAACTCCAAACCTATCATTTTTCTTTTTTTAGACCTGTAAAGAGGTTATTGTTGGAAACACCAAGTTGTCAAAGTGAAATGAAAACTGGAGAAGTGGATATAAAAACGCAGCGAAGATCTAAGTAACTCCTAAAAACCTTCATGGGAAAGTTAGCAACATCATCTTTTGTGATTGAGTCTACAGACTTTCCACTTTATTGCTGGTGCTTAATCTGCACATTGCCAAGTCTCAGAAAACATTGCGAATGCCATACTTCAGAGCCAAGTAAACTGAAATACTTCAGTTGTCCACATGGGAGAAGTGTTTAGGAGTTTCATGCATGTCTCTAAAGTTATTCTAGGATTTATTCTACACACATAGTGAAATAGTAGTTTTACAAAAAGAGGCAATATGAAAAAGAGGTTAAAAAACTATAACCTCAGTGGGCACCATTAAATACCTCTCCAAGTAAAACTTCACTAAAATTCTTGTACTGCTTCGTAGTTTCACTGTTCATTTGACACTGCATGTTATCTCCTGGAGGTGAGAAGCATGATAAACCCACATAATGAGAAAATGAAATGAACTACATAAACAGAAGAGGGTACGAAGCTTCAGTGACCATTAACTACCACCACAGATAATTAGTATCATACTGGCAATGCCAAAAATTCCTGCAATACTATAGATGGTACATGTTGATAAGAATTGATGGGAGTAAATGTTTTCTAATAAGTGGACACCAGGCCAGTATTATCTCAGGAGGACTTGGCCATGAGTATAAAAATATCAACGTCTCAAAGCAATGTATACAAATGTATTTAATCTATGAATAGCCTTACCAAGTCTACTACTTTCTGGAACCTCAAAGTTATAAATTGCTTCTGTGAAAACAGGATGGTTGTCATTTTCATCCTCTACTCTGATGGTCAGTGGAAGAGGTAAATCTGCTGAATACCCATCAGTAGTGGATGCATAGGCAATCAACTGCAAAACAGGCAAAAGCAACCTCAATTAATACCCAGTTACAGCAAAAAGAAGACAAGATGCTCTACTATTTCCCCACCGCTGATGAATCCAAGGCAGTATAAGGTCAAATGGAATGTATTTCTCTTCAGCATATAAGGACAATGCTGTTGAACATTTGCTAACCAAAATGAGAGACAACAGAAATATCAGTCCCATTTGCTTACCCTGCCTCTCTTCTCTGTCTTAGAAACAGAATCTTTCTCGACTATATAGAGACTCATTTCCCCGAACCACAGAGAAAGCACATGGTACCACCAAATTTGCTATATTACAGTGAAAGCTGTCAGAGTAATTCCCTACTGACTATAAACTCAAGCATAGCAAAATGCTGGCTTACTTGCCCCTTTGGGCTCAGTCTCCCACTTTTATTTACTTATCAGAAAATCACACATGTTGAAAGACCAGAAAACGTACAGCAGTAGAGAAAGAGGGTCCTGTCACTTAAGTCTGGACATACCCTGGAGTAGTAGTGAGTAGAGACAGAGAAAGTATCTCCTAAGCAAAGCCATTTTCTTAAAAATGTTCTGGAATTTACATTCAACACTAAACCACTTTGCTTCATTTTACACTTACCTAACAAAAGTTGAGCTAAGGAACTGAGCAAGCATTCCAAATTATCACAAGTCCATTTTCTTTTAACTTTAAGATATCCTCTAAGCATAGAGTGCAGGAAGATGGAAAATAGATGAAATGAGTATAAGAAGAAAGACGGTTTAATAATTCAAAGTCACGTTTATCCACAAAACTCTTACATCAAAAACATCATATTCCTCACGATCCACTGGCCGAGTACAATACAGATTCCCAGTGTCTCTTTCTATGAAAAACAAATTTAAAGGTTCTTGGTCAACACCACGTCCACTTATTGAGTAGAAGACGGTATAGTTCTGGGCTGCATCAGACTGAACCTAGAAAGAAAAATATACATGCAACAATGTTAAAATTCAATTCAGTGAAAATGCTCTTTTAAAAAAAATTCAGTTTTTTATTTAAAGAGGAAAATTTCAACAGAATAAAACAATAATATCCACTGTTAACAAAAATGAGGCAGAGGGGGCTGGGGATTTAGCTCAGTGGCACAGTGCCTGCCTGGCAAGTGCAAGGTTGTGAGTTCGATTCCTGGTACCAGAAAAAAAAACAAAAACCAAAAAAAAAAAAAAAATGAGACAGAAACTCTTACAATGGTGAGGGGAAGGCCAATTAGAGTGCAATTTGGGGAGGACTAACAAAAAATAGGTGATGGGAAAGGACAGGGAAAGCTCTTCCTGGGGAAGAGGAAACAGGAAGTGCAAGGAAACTTCCTAGAGAAACAGGAAAAACAAGGGAATCAGGTGAGAAGAGTGCTTGGGGTCTTCCAAGAGCCACAAGGAGACCACTGTTCTTGGAGCACAAAGAACCAGGAAGAAAGTGAGGGATGAAGGAGTAAAGAGGACATATGGGCCATGTCGTATACGTGATTCGAGGGCTGTGCTTTTCTGGGAAAAAAATGGAGATGGAAAGCCAGTAGAGAATTTAGACAAGGGTACCATCAGCCGAGGTTTTTCATTTCAAACTCTTTAAGTGAGTAGATGCAAATAAATATTGTATCTACTCAAAGTAATGATATGTATGTATATACATATACATGATCTGTGTACATATATATGCATCATTTAATGATTATCCTAATCAAGTCAATTAACACAAGCCATCATATGCTAGATTTCTGGAAATTGTTCATTTTATAGCTGAAAGTTTGATCATTTGGTTAACATCTCTTCTTTCCTCCATCTCCTAAGGACTGGTAACAACCATGTTATTGTTTCTATGCTTAAACTCTTAGATTCCACACATAAGTGATATTATACAGTATTTATCTTTCTGTGTATGATTTATTTCGCTGATTGTAAAGTTCTCCAGCTTCATCCATGTTGTTGAAAATGACAAGAATTCTGTTTTGTTAGTGTATGTATGCGTATACATGTATTCATGTGAGACAGAGAAGAGAGCGAGCGTGAGAGAAGAGAGAGGGAGACTGACTTTAAGCATTTATCTACCAACGGGCACCTCAGTAGTTTCCATATCTTAACTACTATGAACAGTACTACAATAAAATAGGCATCCAGATGTCTCCATGACAACTAATTTAATTTCCTTTGAATATACAGACATTCCTCACTTAAACACCTGTTTAAGGACTGTTCAGATTTAAGAACAAGGTGTGCTTCTCAAACTCAGGCTCCATCACTGAGACTTACAACCCACATTTGAACTTATGATGCAGGAATGTGAGCGGCAGGAATGTGAGCAGCAGCGCTGGGTCACGGTGACTTTTACTGCATGTTGGGTTATTTTTACCGATTATACTGTACAGTACATAGTTTTATATTCTGTTATACATTACAGTACTACATATAAGAGTCATCCAAATAAAAGCAAAGTCATCAAATTAGGAATTTCCTTTGACCATTGCTTTGCTCTGAATATTGTAATGTACATAAAATTCCTCAATTAGTGACCAGTTCAATTAACCTAGTTGCAAGACTAGTAACTTGGTCATTCAATGAGGAATGTCTGTACATCCAGCAGTAGAATTGCTGAATCATATGGTAGTTCTATCTTTAATATTTTTTAAGAACTCTGTACTGTTTTCCATAATGGAGTACCAATTGATATTCCTACCACCAGTATACAAGGACTCCATTTTCTTCACATGGTTGCCAACACTTATGTCTTGTCTTTTTTGATAGTAGCTGTAACAGTTGATACATTGTGTCAACTTGAGTTTACAAATTTAACCAAGTGACTCAGCAGAGGGCCCCGGTCCTTACTTTGGAAACATCCTGAGCTTGTGGAAGAGGAGGGCCCTGAGATGGTGTAGGTGGGTACCCAGCATACAGTATAAGGGAGGGAAAGAGGCTTGCTCTTCCCCTGTTTGCTCTTGCTGCTTTTGCTGTCTGCTGCTGCCTTGAAATGTTGCCCCTGTGTCAGGCTACCCTGCCTTAGAGCCAGCTGATGACCGACTGAAACCTCCACACACTGTGAGCTAAATAAACCTTTCCTTCCTTAATTTTAGGTGTCAGGTATTTTGCTTCAGCAACCAAAGAAAAGTAACCAAGATAATAGCCTTCCTAACAGGTATGAAGTGATATATCTCATTTGGTTTTTACTTGCAATGATTAGTGATAACACACATCTTTTCGTATACCTGTTGGCCATTTGCATGTTTTTTTTAGGAAAAAGTCCACTATTAAGTTCCCTTGTCCATTCATTCATCTGATTATTTATTTGTTGCTATTGAGTTAGGCAAGTTCTTTATTTTGAACATTAACCCCTTACCAGATATATGGTTTACAATTTTATTTTCATTATATAAGCTGACTTTTAAAAAATACTGTAGTTTGCATATATAGAGTCTTTTTATATTTTAAAAAAGCAATACTTGAAGTTTTAAAAGGGCAAGATTTCAATCCATTCTTAACAAAAATTTCCCTTGTGTAAGGAAAAGAACAGGGAGACTATTTAGAAAGTCACTGCACACACTGAGGGGAGGGACGGTAACTCATTAGACTAATCTGGTAGCAGGCAGAAGGGTGAGCGATGTTGATTCTGATACAATTTAAAGACTGAGCCAAAGGCTTTTCTAGTGGCTGGATGTGTGGTGAAAGATAGAAGTCAAGGATGATGCTATATTGGAGGGTCCTGGCATACACTCATACCTATTCTGTGCCTATCTTCTTTGGTATTAGAATGTGTAGCTGACTGCAAAGATGCCTGAAAGAAAAGTATGTTTGTGTCCCTTGCAATTAGGCATGATTTCACTAAAAATCCAGAAGGTGGGGAGTGAGCAAAAATGATGTAAATAATAATGATAAAATGAATAATATAAATAAAAATAAATAGCTGAACAGAATCCAGGTTGTGCTCTAGAAAGCAAAGGAGTATGTTCTCCCTTTTGAACACTGTGGTGAGTCACAACAGTAGGGGCCAAATTAAAATATAAAAAACCAGGGGCTGGGGATTTAGCTCAGCGGCAAAAGCGCCTGCCTGGCAAGTGCAAGGTCGTGAGTTCGGTTCCCGGTACCGGAGAAAAACCAAAAAAAATAAAAAAATAAAAAATAAAAATAAAAAACCTGATCCCTGGTGTTTTTTCATATTAAAACTTGTTACAGTACCTCACTTTCACAGAACAGCAATAAGGGAGGGTCTCACTTAAGCCAAAGTTATTTAGGATCTTAGTAAAACATAGATATACTAATATCCTGTAATAACCAGAAATTAAAAGCTCAACTGTGAGAATAACTGGACACAGCAAGTGGGACTCAACATGGATGTCTTATTCCTCTATGTCCTTCACAGTCTACATGCTAGAATGATTCAAACAAAACCAAGCCCAAAAGGCAAATGTTCTAGAATCTTCTTCTCTGACTTTTTATTAGTGTATATTTGCAATATATAATAAGTATATTCTCTATGGGGAGTATGCATATACATATCACATCTTAACCCTTTTTACCCCACTTCCTCCTTCCTCCCCTTTCACCCCATCCTTAGATCCCTTCCTGTCTCTAAAAGGTCTTCCTTCCTATTTCCTAGTATGTATCCAGGATCTCTTGAAACCAGAGTTCAGGATATATATATACAGACAGCCAAATGTGTTTGCACAAGATTTGGAAGTCGTAAGTGAGCAAATGTCTCACTTGGAGGGCTCTTCTGTCTGGCTGCCAACAATTTTGCTGGCATTTGTTCCTTTTCTCTTGTTCTGGGTTGGGCTGGGTGGGGTTGGGTTGGCTTGAGTTGGGTAGCAGCAAAAGTTCTAATAGTTACTCACCAGCCTTGTAGGTGATGAGAGACAGGGACTGGGTCAGTGTTTTTTCTGGCACTGGCTGGAACAATTGAGAGGCTGATGTAAAGTTGCAGGAGGAGGTGCAGCTCTTACTGTGGTGTTTTCCTGTCTGTGGCAGCGGTACCTTGGTTTGGCACCCCTGTTTACCATGGAGAAAGCACTATGTCCCCTGGCCATGGGTTCTGTGGTGCAGCTAGCTTGCAGTTTGTTCCTAAAAAGTTCATACTAAAGTTTGTTTCTTCAACCTCCCAACAAGTCTGTGAACTATTTGATAGGCTGTAATAAATCTGTATCAGTGAGCTACATGGAGAGAACTATTCTCTGCACTAACAGAACCTTAGGAAACATGCAAACGGCCAAATAACTAGAAGCAGTGAAGAGCTGCTGAGGTGGAAGGGCACTGTTTAGAAGAAAAGCACAGCATTTGATTTGTGTATATAAGTCTGAAATGCCTGTTAAACTTTCATGTGGAGATACCAACTAAGAAGTCTGGGTTGGAATTATGATGTCTCAAATATTCAATGGGAAAATGTTCTTAGACCAATCAGGTAGGATAAGATTGATGAACAGTACATATAAATAAGCAAGAAATGAGGTTCAAAGACTGAGCTCTGGACTTCTCCGAAGTTTAGAGACTGAGGGAGGAATGACCAAAAAAAAAAAAAAAATTGTGTGACTAGTGAAGAAAATGGAGAACTGAGTAAACAGTTTCCAAGGAACCAGGCAAGGAAGGTATTTAAGGAAGAGGGAAAAGCCAAACATGTCAGATGTACATAAGCCGAAGCAATGAATGCTGAGAGTCAGTAATTGATTTAGCAATGATAATGGCTAAGATTACACGTGACCAGTGCAAATTTGATAATCAGAAGTCATTTCTTAATGTACCTCTTTAGTAGTCAAGCTACAACATTTATGAAGCAATTATACGGGCCAAGTAGTACTGGACAGAATACCAAACAAGTAATAGAAAGCTTTCATCATCAATATTAAGCAGTATCCACTGTAACAAAAATTTAAGAAGAAAAAAGCAAACATAGGGATGTTTCTCTCGTAACACTCCTACTGAGGACCATCATTGCCTATTCCTACTTCCTTCGCAAAGCCAAGGACCCATACGCAAGGAAGGGCTGGGACTAAGTTTACTTCCATCTTTAGTACCCACAGCAATGTCGACCACAGAATACACTAGGTGCTCCACAACTGTGTGCAAAATGAAAGAATAACAAATAATAATCATTCAACGGCTGGAGAGTCATCTCGTGTCACTAGCATCTTAGCAGTTTTCTTTTTCACGTTTTAGTCTTTCATTGCACTTCATGACCATCCTCAGCCAGATCTGTTTGTCAGATACTTAACCTGAGAAAAGCAAACCCCTAGAAATAAAGCACTCCAATCAGAAGGAATGTCAACCTACCTGTTGAAGAAACAAAGGGAAGGGGCCCAAGGAATTCTCTTGCATTGAACAAGGAATGGGTGCCCATCTCCTCTTGGATCTCCTGAGGACAGTTTCTTTAGTGTGTCTTTTCTTCAATATCTAGGTTCAGAGAAAGAAAAAATGAATAGAAGCATCACAGCCTTCTTTGTTATAAAATAGTGGGCAACCAACATCTTTCCAGCAGCGCAGTCTTCCCATGCTGAGACTAAAAATGGTTCATAAAGTCTTTTGGGATTGGAGAGGCAGAAAGGATTTTAAACATCTCATAAGCTAGAGGATTTTCTTTTCTATACCTCCCAACACTGACCGTGTTCTCAGGTTAGGAAAATCATCACTGTACTCTTAGCTCGTCTTACTCTGCTCCAGATAGAGATAGAGAATGCTTTTCACTGAAACAATCTCTACAAGGCATTTACCTCTTCTTTCTGTGAGAACCTCACACTCTCAGGTGAACCAGAGGCAGGAAACGCACGTCTTTCCTGGCCTGCGTTACCTGCACTGTGCAATATGGCAGCTGCTGGCCACCACTGATCATATGATTATTTATGTTAACTATAATTAAATGAAATGAAAAGTTTTACCTTTCAGTTGTACTAGTCACTAGGCAAGTATTCAGTACACATTAGTATTGGGCCACCACACAAAACAGTGCAGGTTACAGAACATCTCTGTCATTACAAAAAGTTATGTCAGACTTTTTTAGTGACAGCCATTTTGTTTCATGATATAACAAGGAAGAAATGTGATTTGATAATTAATTAAGAGATAACTTTATTAAATACTTCATAAAATGCTACACAGTCATTTTAAATTAGTTTTATCATCAGTACAGTTAATATAGATTAGGTATAATCCAATGTAAACCTTTTTTCATTTTGTGACTTTTTCATAATGGCATTCCTCATGATCAACAGTTTACATTAACAAAAAATCCTAAACATTAAAGAATAGCTACCACATGACTCTGGCACACAAAAGCCATTAACTAGAATCAGAGACAGAAGAAACCTTCACGGAGGAGGTACCATTTGAATTTCACAAAGTAAAAACAAAGCAAATGTTTCACTAGAGTTTAAAAAGAGAGGAAGAGAGGAAGAAAGAGGGAGAAATGGGAAGAGAGAGAGAAGGAGGGGAAGGGAAAGTAATGAAGGAAGAGGAGGGGAAAGGGGGAGGGGAAGGGAGGAGAAAGGGAAGGGGAGGGGAGGAAAGGCAAGGGGAGGAAGGAGAGGGGAGGGGATGGAAGAGAAGGGAAGGGAAAGAGGAGAGGAAGGGAAGGGAAGGAGGAGAGCAAGGGAAGGGAAGGAGGAGAGCAAGGGAAGGGAAGGCCCATTCTCAAGGATCCTTTGATCCTCTTTGCAATTTTTATGAAGAGTATTTTAATGAAAGAAAATGCCTGAAAATATTCAGTACCCTCTGAATACCTTCTTCTGATGTTCCAGGACCACAGTTAGCTCCTTCTGTGTCTCTGTCTCCGTATCACAAAGCCATACGGAGAATGCGCGCTTCTCATCAGACAGCACAACAGCCCTGGCTGTGTACACTGACCCATCCTGCAGCACTCTGAAGTTGGGGTCACGTGACTGGATGAGGTTTGCAGACCCGAAGCACTCTTTCCAATTAACTGCAGGTAAAAGTTTCCCAGTTGTTAGGTGGAAACATGTAGAGAAAGGGGAAAAAAAGTCAAAATGATTTAAACAAACTTCTTCAAAACTGTGATGTGAAATAATATATACCAATAACTTCATTTACCAAATATCTTAACCAGTTCTTTCACATTATTTTTAAGAGATGATTTCCTTTCAGTTAAATAATGATAACTATTGATTGTATATTTTTATCCAAGAAGGTGTTTTATACTTTCATGTGCTTCTAGTAGGCTTAAGAAGGTGATCTTCCCATTACAGGCATTACAGTCATGACAAAGTTAGACTACACACCCCCACACACCTGAATAAACACACAGAGAAGTTTTCCTTAACAATACTCTCTGAGTTTGTCTTCCACCAGAAGTTACACAGGGGGACGCAAAGAACAATGAAGGGAATGAATCAGGCAAGCAGTGAAGAAAAGTTGATCTGTGAATTCTTCCCACTGGCCCTTTTCTGTACACTTTCTCCCCACAGATTTAAGATACTGTGTGCGTCCCTAGCCTTGCAGGACCCCCACTGAAGACCCCCACTGAAGACCTCTGTACGAGGTCTTCCCTCTTTAGGAAGTTTGTTCTCTAGTAAAAGGTAATTTTTTTAAGTATCAAAATATGCCATTTGCTAGCAAGGCGCACCTATCTGAATCTCATAAGAAGAACCCGCAATGCAAACGCAGTGACTATGCCAGAGCTGCCAACAAACTCAGGGCGAAGCCAGCCTTTGGGGAAGCTCAAAAGACGTCTGAGAGCTCAGAATCGGAACTTAGAGAGGAAACTATGACCCCGCGCTGGCAAGGCCCAGGGTGCAGGCTGAGCTGCTGCGTCTGCCCGGGACCAGTGGCTAGCATCACTTCCGGGACCAGTGGCTAGCATCACTTCCGGGACCAGTGGCTAGCATCACTTCCGGGACCAGTGGCTAGCATCACTTCCCACCGCCGATAAGGTCAAAAGCCCCAGCAACTCTTGCGAGCTGGAGGCAGTAGGGACTTCAGACACAAGGCAGGGAAGCAAAACTTTTAAGTATATTGGATCTTACAAATATCTTAAAATAATGGCTTTGGGAAAGCAGGCTGGATCCCTGGGTCGAGCCAGTGCTGAGATCTGCAATTGCCCAGAGCCCCCTACAGGCCTGTCTCTGTGTTGGAAAGAGATGACTCTAGGAGGTTTTCATTTCTCACCATCTATCTCTCCACAACCAAAGGTTGCTTCTGTAGATGTCCAAAGGCAGATTCGGAAAGCAGGGAAGCCGGGGAGAAAGTGGCTGGGCCTTGGGAGCCCATAGGCTTATCAGGGAGGCAGAGAGGATGAGGAGCCAAGAGGAAAGATCTGAAAACTGCATGGAAAACAGGAGCAGGAAACACAGAGGAATCAGAGAGGAGAGGCCTCTGGAGGGAGGTTCACCAGGAAAGATGTTCCCGGTTTCCCTGTATGCCTTTTAATACAATCGCACCCTTACCAATGACCTTACAATACCCAAACTGCTCGTTATTAAATTCTTTTCGCCAGAAAATAAACTAACAGAAGATGTTTTCCACCCTATTCTTCACCTATGTACTTTGTCAGAAAACACACTGATAATACTCAAATAATCATCTCTCCAAGGATTCATATGTTACACGTGGATGGCGCTATCGTTTTAATCCAGATCTGTCATATGTGGAGCTGTTTAGCCAAAAAGACGTGAACATTTTTAGGATAATGATATATTTCCTTCATCTGCATAGTGAATTTTGCAAATCATAATTTCTAGTCTAACCCCTACAAAAGCACTTGTGATCTCTCTTTACATCCCTTCATTTTAATTCTCCACAGGAATTACAGTGTCTTTGTTTAGTAAAAGTAGCCAAGGCACTTTGACCGGAATGGGGCACTTTGTTGAGAAGGTAAATCTGGTATCTTTGGGATAAACTCTACTCCTTGGTGGAAAAAATGATGATGCTTTCCCCCAATATTCTCTGCACCTCCACGGAAAGCCCACCTGGGCAGAGCGCTCCCGCTGTCGGGAAGGTCTAAGTTTCCACACAGTGCCCAGAGTGCTGAGTGAGTTCAGAGTTTGAATGCAATGCCTCACCTTCCTGTGGTCCTTCATGCAGCTCCAGCACTGATACAAGTACTGCTCTGACTTGCTCAGCTCTCTGTCTATTCTTCCCTAATGACTGCAGCACTACAGTAATAAGAGTGCTACACGTTATAGGTAATGATTTGTATAATTTTTAAACTGTTAAAATGTAAATGACTATGAAAATGCCATGTTTTAGAACATTTGCACTAGAATCAACTACAAAATTCAACAGAGGTATAAAGAGCAAAAAGCACATATTCAAAATAATCCTGCATTGTTTCTACTTCTAAGTAGATTCAAGCCAGCTCTAGAAGGCACACATTGTAGATCATACCAGGCAAGCTAAATTTATGCTAAACTAAACGGAAAAGGGCTATGATGAAATTTCTCACCTCTGCCAATCAGTTTGTCTGCCTCTAGTTTAGAAGGCACATTTAACATCACATTCTTACAGGCTTCACCAGCAAAACTGAAGACCTAGAATTTAAAGAAAGATCACATTGATACAATAAAAAATAAAGAACAAAAACTATGTGATCATCTTAATAGATGCAGACAAATAATTAACAAATTCTAACCCCATTTATGACTAAGTCCAGATTTGAAAGGAAGAAGTAAAAATGTCTCTATTCACATATAACATAATCTTTTATGTAGAAAATCCTAAGGAATCCACTAAAAGAACTACCCAAACAAATCAGTCCAGCAAAACTACAAGAAATAAGACAAACATACAAAAAAAAAAAAAAAAAAAAGATTGTATCCCTGTACATCTGCAATAAAAATCTGGAAAAAAAAAAAAAAAACTAAGTAAACAACCCCTTTTGCAGTAGTATAAAGAGCAAATATTTTGGAATAAATTTAGTCACAGAAGTACATGATCATACACTAAAAACCATAAAACACTGGTGAATAAAACTTAAAAAGAACCAAATAAATGGAGAAATAGCCCACCTGCATGGATCAGAAGACATATTACCTAAATTCATCTACAAATTCAATACAATAACTATCAAAATTCTCACTGCCATTTCTAAAGAATTAACACTTAATACAGAAATGCAAAGAGCCCAAGCAAACCTGAGAATGAACAAAGTTAGAGAATGTATATTTCCCAATTTCAAAACATACTAAAAGCTACAACACATAGCAATACTGGAATAAGGATAAATATATTATTTAAATGGAATAGAATTAAAATCATAGAAGTGAGTCTTTACTTACTTAACTTCAGGAAGCTCAGCTAGCTTCCAAAATATTCAAGAGAAAGAATCCTGTTCAACTGGTAGTAAGACAAGTAAATAACCTAACATAGAAAAGTTATAAACTCCTAAATCACACGAACAGCAAAAATCAACTCAAAATGGAACTCCAACATAAATGTTAGGACTAAAACTATTTAAAGGAAAACCTATGAATAAACCTTAATGATCTTGAGGTAGTCAATGAGCTTCTGAAATATAACACCAAAAACACAAAAGGATAAAATTGGATAAATAGGATTTAATTAAGATTTAAAATTTTTTTCCTCTTCAAACTATGTGATAAAGAAAGTGAAAACCCACAGAATGGGAGAAAATATCCCCAAATCATGAATTCCCAAATTATATCCATAACATATTAAAATATCTTAAAACTCAGTAACAAAAAAGAGGCAAAGAATTTGAATAGACATTATCCAAGGAAGATGGGCAGATGGCCAGTAAGCAGACGGAAAGATGCTCAACATCATTAGGAGTCAGGAAGGTGCAAGTCTAAACCACAGGGAGACACCTGCTAGGAGGGCTCAGGAGACAGAAAACAAGTCGCTGAGAAGAATGTGGAAAAACTGGAACCCTTGTATGTTGCTGATGGAAATGTAAAGAGATAGAGTCACTTGGGAAACAGTTCAGTTTCTCTAGGCATTAAATGTAAACTCAACATAAGATCCAGTATTCCCAGTGTGTCTAAACAAAATGAAAATCTATCTCCACACAGAAAATTATACCTGACTATGAAGAGCAACATTACTCAGAATAACCACGAAATGTACACAACCTACATCTGGTGATTGGATCAACAAAATGTGATATATCTGCAAAATGGATTATTCTAAAGCATAAACCTGAAAAATATGCCCAGTGAAAAAACAAAAACTAAGGGGCTCATATTTATTTTATGATTATATTTATGATAGCTCCCCAAAGGCAATAGAGACACAGTAGATTAGTGATTGCCTAGCACTCGAAATAAAATGGGAAATGACTGTGAATGGGTATTAAGTTAAAGCCATGGAAATGGTCTATATTAAATTGTAGTGGTAATTATACATTTGTGAATTTGCTAAAATTTATTGAACTGTGTCACTTTATACAGGTAAATCTTATAGAATACAAATTACACCTCAGTAAAGCTGATTGTAACACAATAGAACATTCATTGATAGAAAAATTATTCTTTCCATGTCTGCTTCTATAAAACTGGTAGTGAGAAGCTCTTTCAAATTTACAAAAGCAATTTCAGAAAATAGAATAACAACGAAGAAGCAATTCAGTTCTAATATAATTACATATAAAATATTTTTACACAAAATTAGAAGATTAACTAAAGGTAATATATATTATATATCATATATGTGGCATGATCAAAAATATAGTGAATGTTTACTTTTTTAAAAATATATTATGTTAGCATTAATTCCCCTCAAAATAGTTCACTTCACTTTAGATACATTCATCCCATCATTCTTGCCAACTTCTGAAGCAGTTCTGGAAGTCCTCTTTCATGAATGTCACTAGTTCACTGCTCTGACTAGTTCACTGCTGTGGCTGCCTCAATGTCGTGAATCCATTCAAAACATTAACCTTTAAAAGTCATTTTGACTTTGGAAAAGGGTCAGAAGTTGCACTATTCCAGATCGGATGGATAAGGTCAATGTTGGATGGCACTTAGCTGCAAGCAGCATTCACCATATTTTTGATGACAACTTGTAAAGACACTCACAAAACAGGACTTACAGAACTGCTTCACAAAGTGGTCAGAATCATAGGATGTGCTCAGAGTGAGAAACAGTATTTTGTGGGATATTAATGCCAAGGTGCCTTTCACTGAATAAATATTTTTAAATTTAAACATTCACCACATGTACACATACATAATAAAAATTCTTGTACTAATATGTTTATTTTGGTCATTCACCTCTAGTGACCATTATTTTTATATTGCTTTCCTTCATTACAACTGATACTGCACTGAGCAGGCCTGCAGGTGCAAGATGATAGAACATATATTCCAACAGAAATCAATGTACTATGAGCATTTTCAGTTTCACTAGCTATTGCTAACTTGCTCTCCAAAATACTAATGTTAGCCTAATGTCCTTAGAGTATTAAATCTCTCCATTTCTCATATCCTTGCCTACAATTAATTTTATGACTTTTAAAACTTTTGTCGGTCTAGCCAGGCAAGGTGGCACAGGCCTGTAATCCCAGCACTTGGGAGGCTGTGGCAGGAGAATTGCTGTGAATTTGAGGCCAACCTGGGCTCCATAGTTAGTGTAAAGCCATCCTGGACTACAGAGCAAGACCTTGTCTCAAAAAACTAAAAAATAAATAAATACATACATACATACATACATAATAAAAATTTTGTCAACCTAACAACTGTTTTCATTTCGTTAATTTCTGGGGAGATTAAGCATCTTGTGCTACTTACCACTCATCTCTAAATTTGCTATTCAGATCCTTTGATCATCTCTCCACTAATTTTGTCCTTTTGAAATTTATTTTTACCTCAGCTATATTAATGATTTATAGCTGTACTGAGTGAGACTCTTCTTAACCTGTAATTTCTAATTGTTGATAGCCTGTGGCAATAATTTCTAAAGATTGACCCTATACTCAGGAAATCTGAGAAATTTTATTGGTTCCAGTATGTTTCCAGAGAGTATTGAATGTTTCATGGAGCTAATCCTTCAGCTGGCAAAATGACAATTACTTTTCTTTCCTTTAAGTCTTATATCTCCTTCATTGTTGCTATTATATTTTTTATCTTCTGTACTTGCTTGACCCTCCAGTAGAAGACTGGGTAAAACACCCCTCATAGCCCTAATGGCCGCTGCAGAGAATGTTTTTACTACTTCATCACAGAGTCTTTTTCTTTTCTTCTTCACTACATTCATTTAACTCTGTTAGGGGTGCCTGTCAGGTGAAGGATGCTCATTTCTTACATTCTTAGTTTGCCAACAATTCTTCAAACACTAATTAAAATGTTTCCACTGTTTCTTTTGTAATAGTGGGGATTGAAACTAGGGCTTTGGTACTGAGCTAAATTCCAGCACTTTTTATCTTTTTACTTTGAGATACAGTCTGTCAGCCACTAAATTGCCCACATTGGGCTTGAATTTGTGATCCTCCTGCCTCAACCTCCCTGAGTGCTGGGATGACAGGAATATGCCACCACATCCAGCTGACATGATTTTTTTTACAATATACTATAGATTTGGTTTGCTCCTATTTCCTTAGTATTTCATATCCATTATTTCCATCGGTGAAGTTGTTACTATTTTTCAAATTTATATGATCTTCATAAAGTTAATTCAGAAAAGTTCCACTCTTCTAGTTCTCTGAAGCAATCTATATAAGATAGAGATTATCTGTTTCATGTAATTATGGAATAATTCATTTATTATAGGTCCAGACCTGATGGATGTGAAGAAATATGCATGTGAAGATATGTGACTTTTACTTCAATCTCTTTAATGGCTATAAATCTATTTAGATTGTGAATATTTCCTCTAGTGAAACGCTTGTTTTGTGTGTTTTCAAATTATCTGTAACAACCTCTTAATAACATTTTAATACGTGTCTTCTCCACAAATGTGCCTCGTTTTTATTCTAATATTGTCTTATCTGTACCTTCTCTGTTTTTCCTGCTCAATCACAGCAGGCTTTGCCTATACTGTCAAAGAGGGCTTTGCTCTATTTGGTTCCTCTATTGCTTGTTTCTTTTTTTAAATGTCCTCTGAAATATTTACTGTAAATGTGAAACATGACATATAGCATGTGTTTTAATTAATAAAATCAGCTCACTCTGAAGGTAAGAAAAAAACATTACTACTATCTGAAGTCCCTATATATTGAAGTCCCACTTTCCATTTCTATTTCCTTCTTTCTGTAAACTCCCAAAACCTAGATAACCACTAATATCTGAATTTTGTCTCATGCATTTACTTCTCTGCCTCTGCTTAAATTTATCCCATGTGTCTGTTTCCCTAAAGAAGATACTGTTATATTGTGCCAAAGCTTATCTTTTAAATCTATGCAGTCATATGCTATTTGCAAACAATGTGCTTTCTTTGCTTAAAATTATATCGACGAAATACTCATGATGAGTATGCAGTAATTTATTCATTTAGTTACTATGTAGTACATTATTGGAAAGAATATACAGAGAATTGAGTAGTATAATTTCAGTTATGCTTCTTGAAATTAAAGTGC